TTACCCTCCTCTCGTCCCGGTGGCAGGCGGGAATCCCACCCTTGCCCGGCCCCTCCCTGACTCCCACTTAGCGGGGGGGCAGAGGCTGCATTTGGAGGGCGTCGTAAGTGTCCTTGGTGGCCGAGCTGAGCCCCTGCAAAGGAGAAAGCAGAGGTGAGGTGCCAGCGTGCGCATGCCGTTCCCCCCCAACGCTGGCTGGGCGGGAGCAGGGCCGGGGGGGTCAGTAGCACCGGCCTAACTCACTTCCCCTGCAGAGGTTTTTACTCCTGAGTGCTTCCCTAGCCTTTGGCTGGTGGCAGTAGCTGCCGCTTCCCTGAAGGCGAGATGCATCCTGAACGGCCGTCAGGAACGCGTGACTATGGCAACACATCCTAAGCGGCGGCACAGGCCTCGAGTACGTTCGCCGTGCGTATTATGGACTGCGAAGAGCTGGCTGGTGCTGGACTGAGCACACCCCATCTGCCGGGTAAATGCACAGACACCAATCCGTGAACTTTGCTCTCTGGGCTTCCCCTTTGCCCTTTGGAAGGGAAGTCAGATGTGACCGCGGTAAGCTGGCCGCAGGGCTTCGGGTGGCTGCAAACCCCGGGCAGCATCCCATCTGCTTGGGGTGGGGGTGAAAGTCAGCTGTGACACGTGGGTTACAGCCCCCCACTGCAGCCGTGGGTCCGACGGCTCCCAGAGCGGGAGAGCCGCGGAGCAGCCCCGGAGGGAGAGGGGCTGCCCAGGGCAAGGGTTCGGTAAGGCACGCGGTGCCTGCTGGTAAACCTTCTAGCTGCCCCCCGCTCCGCCCGGGGCACTCGGGCGCACGCTGAGCGCTCTGGTAAGAGGGTGCTGCTTGCCAGCCCCCCGCACGGCGGGTGGAGCAGGTGTCTGAAGAGAGGCGCCGTCGGTGACGAGTTACCCACCCAAGGGGAACGGCGCGGCGCATGCTGCACGGGAAGAACCCAGGAGGCGCGCTGCGCGCGGTGGCGAGGCGGGTCGGGGTTACAACAGCCAGAGTTCCAACAGCGCTCTGGCAACCGGAAGGTTTCCACTTAAGCAACAAACAACCCAGAGACAACCTTAAACGTGGTGGCTGCCACAGCCCGAAGGGGGTTCTCCGGGATGTAGGGCTGGCTCCTACGGGAGCAGCTGAGCACGCGTTCCTGCCAGTCGCGTTTAGAACACGCAGCCGCCTTAGATCAAGGTGGCAGCAGAGTGGTCTGAATGCGAGCGAGCGTCCTCAGGAAGGTGCCCCGGAAGCTCTGCTTCCTCGGGTGGTACAAACAGCGGGGAGGGGGGCCTGACTAGAGGCTGCCATTAAGCCACGACGGCAGACGAGGGGAGCAGGTGGTGAGCGTGATGCCTACCTGGTAGACAGCTTCATTCCCTTTGCCTCGCCGCCTCTGCTGTTCAAGAAAGAAGAGCGTAGATTAGCGTGTGCTCTTCCCGTTACACGAAAGGAAAGTCACCCCTGCCTTCCCCCCTCCTGCACCCGGGTCAGCAGCTGCACTGGGCCTGGGCACCCTCTGCGCAGGAGGAGAAGCACCTGCCAAGTCTGGCCCAGCCCAGACACGCTGCAAGGGCTGCAGAAGGAGAAAATAGTGATGACTGGAAATAAAGAGGAAATTATTTTGGGCTGCTAGCATATTTTCCTGTCATACTGTTATACAGCTGCTATTTCTCTGATTTACTGTTTATATAGGGATCTGGCAACGTTCCTACAGACACCTATTGTTTTACGTGCTGAAATCACACCTGGAAAAAAGGGGGCTGTATTTTTTCAGTTGCTGCGTGTCGTCGGCAGGTGTCCGGGGGACTCTGCCCTCTATGGAGCAGACACGGGTAAGCGAGCCAAGCCCCAGCCAGCACCCAGCTGGTTGGTAAGCTGTGCAAAGGGCCTGCAGAGGTAAGGCTGTCCGAAGGCAAAGTCGCACAGGGTTCAGTACATTTGGCACTGGGAGTGTCCCGGTACAAGCAGAGCAGGCAAACAGGCCAGCCAGAAAACCCTTCTGCTTGAAGGGTGGGTGATGGTCCTGTACCTGCCATCACGTGTCTAGCACGAGGCAAGGCGCTGCTCGCGTCCCAGCGAGAGAAACCGCCCCAAAACCACGGCAAGACGTCAGACGCTTGGCTTGTACACCGAGCGTGGCCGCCACAGATGGGCTTCAGGCTGAGAGAGGAGGGGAAGGGGTTAAATGTCAGGGCCCCTGCAGAACTTCTCGGCACCGAACTTTGTGGTGAAATGCCCTTTTTTCCCACCAAGTTGAAACATTCCCCCTTGACATCACTCAGGGACAGCGCTGGCGCAGGGGCCGTGTTTCTGATGCCACTGGGACAAAGCTGGCGTCTGATCTCCACCGTGTGTCACGGCTAGCGGAACGCCATCTCACTGCCGCTCCAAACACACCGGGCACTACTGGAAACAGGGAACTGCTCTCAGCTGCGCCTGTAGGTGCTGTGCAGCACGAGGACGTCCTTCTGCGAGGCAGCTACGTGCAGCCACGACTACGGCTCCCAAAGGGAGTGACAAGGAAGAATTTTTCATCCCAGGCTTTCACCAGGAAGGAAGGTAGGACTCACCTCTCCCTTCATCCCGATTTCACTGTATGCCTCGCCCATCTTGTCCTTCTGCAACGACTGCAAGCAGAGAGGGGGAGAGTGTCAGTGTGCTGCCAGAAAATCCAGGCTGGTCCCCAGGTGTCTGCGCCCCAAGCCTGGGCTGCCGGGGCTGCCCTGCCTGCAAAGCACCAGCGTATTCCGGAGGAGACCCGAGTTAAGTCATGAGCTCCAGAATTCCCATATCTCTCCTTTGGAGCACAGACCACCACTTCTAGCCAGACTTAAATCAGTTACATCAAGAGGCTCCTAAGCAGCCACTCTCAGGTGCACTGGCATCTGGCCTTTGTCAGAGAGCAGCCAGAGGCTGGAGAACAAGGACACAAAACTGCGGCATTGGTCACACGGGACGAAAGTTGACCTGAAGGGATCAGTGACCAATGGCTGACATGAAGGGATCAACAGGCATCTTGATCCAAATTCTTTTCCCCATCGGCCCACATTTTGCTCCTACCATGGAAAAAGGAGCAGAAATGTTCTAGCAAAGAAGGGGGAGTAGAAGGGGAGAGACGTCCTGGAAAGCAGCTAAGTTTGAACCAAAGCTGAGGTTGGGTAGGGAGAAAAAAAGTCTCCTATGAAAAAGAAACGCTGATTTCCAGCCATCCCTCCCTCTCCTCTCCCTCCCGCTCTCTCTACTCACAGTGTAGACGGTGTCCTGAGGGTTCTTTCTTCTCTGCTGTAAAACAAAAGAAGAAAGTTGTCGGCATGTTGCACTGCCAGCATCCCCCACCACCTTGCGTGTGCCCCTGCATTCGCTCCAAGGCACAGCTACAGCTGCATGGACGTGCGGTACCCATTACAGCCCATCCTGCCTCCACCCACAAGGCTCTTAAGACAACTTATTGCCTGGAAAATTAATTTAATTTGAATAATTGATAGAACTTAGCTCTTCACTGCTCCATCCCTACAGCTGTCACCTGCAGGCAAGCCCTACTTGCTGATGCAGAAGGCTTCCCCTCCCTTTTCCTTTGAAAGTGTTGGGCTCTGCAGCAGAAGAAACAGTTGTTTTGGCTGCTGCGTTACTTCGCTGGTGCTTGCTTGGCAGCGTCACGTGCAGCGAGCTCTTGTGAAACACCCACTCCTGCCTCGCCTGCTCCACATCCGCCCCGAGGCTGGGTGTCACTTCCTATTCTGGGTGGCAGCAAGCTCGCGGCAAAGTGACGGGGGGCACGAGGGGCAGAGATCAAAGGGGAGGGGGGAAGGTTTGCTCTTGTCCCCGCCACGCTGGCAGCCGTCTGAGTTACTGCACAGATTTTGACGCTTCCCCCGCCAGGAAGGCGCTGGCGCTCAGCGAATGCGCGATGGATGCCCGCACGTCTCAGCAGCGGTTAGACACGAGAAGGCAGGCACCGGGTTAAAAGAAAACAGGGGGGTGCGTGGGAGGAAGTTACCTGGTGTCTCCCACCCAGCTCAGGGTCTGCGCCTCGCTTGGCCCCCAGAACATCATATTCATCTCGGTGTCCACGCGACAGTTTCTGAAATGGGAAAGCAAGAGGCAGTGACGGATATTGTGGTCACGGCAAAAGACTTTGGCTTGGCTCAGGAGAAGAAAGGGAACCCAGTTTGCTGTCCAACATCATGGGTATTAGACACAGGGCTAGAAGTTATTTTACCCCTTTAATGTGTCAACAAAAACTTCTATGATTAAGCCATGGAAACAACAACAAGTGGTTTGTGCAGCACCAAACCACAAGCCATCGCATCAAGAACCTGTCTTAAGCAGAAACGAGCTGAAAATGAGAGCAGGAGGGAGGGACTCTGACTTTCACGCTTTCTTTCCCACTGGTGGGTGAAGATCCACGAGCCTGATTTTTCTTGCAGAACGGCTCACCTGAATTTGCATCTAGGGGCTGTAGAAATTTTATGGGAAACACATTTCTCATCTGGGAAAGGTTACCTTGGAAAGGGGCAAGGGAGAGATTTTGGGTCAGAATAACACCGCTGCCACAGCGCTAGTGAAAAGGGGACAGGCAACACTTCTTAAAGTGAAAAAATCGCATTGGTGCTCACACATTACACAATTAAGCAGCAGGACTCGTCACAGGATGTGGCTACGGTCAATGGCGTGAGAGAAAGAATTGAAATCTAAAGACAACTAGAAATAATGAAATAAGCCAGAGCTCAACGCTGCCATGGGGAAGCGTTTTAGTGAGGGAGGCCTTGCCTCTGTCCTCTTCCACTGCCTGAAGAGCCGCCTGGTGCTGGCTACAGTCAGGGTGGGTACGGCCTGGTCCGACAGCTCATGCTGCGGGGCGAGAGGATAGCTCAGCCACGATGACTCAGGCTCCACACACTCGATACACGAGCTACAGTCGCCTCAGGTCAGCAACGCAGCATTCCTGGGCGTTTGCTCTTTCTCCAGCTCACATCAGAAAGCACCGGCAACAGGGGCGGCCTGTGAGTCGCCCGAGGAACGGCAGGAGCCGCAGGGGACTGCAGGGGCTGGGTGCGAAGGTGGGGTGCGCACACCACGTGTACCAGCCCAGTGGCTGCACACACGCACACGGCTCTCACGGGCGTGTTACGTGGCACAGCACACCCAGCGCTGCCTCCGAATCTGTCTGGGCTCCTGGTATACCTTCAGCTCACTGGATCGAATCGGGACCCTACAGCCCGCGTATCCATCTAGCATCCAGCCAGACACGGGATGACGGAAGCTCCCCCTGTCAGGTTTTATGTTTCCTCCTCACAGTTGCTGTGCTGCAGACCTGGGCACAGCGTTTTCGTTAGCTGGGTCATCACGTTTTTCTGCTCTACAGGCAATTCACTACCTATAGGTGCCCAAAAACGTCCACCTCGGTAGCAGATTAGAAAACAAACGAAAAAAACGCAGTAGTTACTTACATTGTACACATCATCCTGGCCTGGCCGCAGCGCTGGTTCAGAGGGCTGGCTGAGCTGGAAGAGAAACCATACCGTGAGCAGCGAGGCAGGGGGTCTGGTTCAGTCCTTTCCTTCCCTCTCTCCTTGAAGTTTACTCCCCTCAGAAACAGGGCAACACATACGCAGCCCACCGGTGTCACCAGCAGGACTACAGGTAGTGCAGGCCACTGCTGCGCTGGCACTTTACCCACACAGGTTGCTCTCAGCATCCAGGCCATCTTGCTTGCACATAACACCAGCCCGCTGCTACTCAAACCATGTGTCTTCCCCCGCTCCCCGGCTTTCGCATTCCTGTTCTGTGCACATCATAACCCTGTGCTATCGAAAGTAGCTCCGTCAGGCTATAAAATCATAATTGCAGCCTGTGTTAAGGAACACTGGGTATCTGGGGATGCTAACAACCAACAGAACTTCACTCCCTCCCCCAAGACCCCAGTCCTCCGGCAAAACTGCTGCCTGCAAAGTTCCTGGGTGTCCTCAGCTTCAGAGGGCGCGGCAAACCCCGCGCCCCTCAGCAGCAGGACCTGGCTTGAGGGGCTGCGGTGCCACCATGGTCAGTTGGCATGAGTGGTAGCTAATGAGCAAGTAAAGGATTTCCGTTCTGCAGCTACTCCTTGGCTCTGCTCCTCACATATTTATGAGCAGTTAATTGCTGAGCCAAACTTCCAGGAAAAAAAGGGGCAGTTTTAGGCCAGTGTGATCAGGTACTTTGTGTCTCAGTCCTTTCAAAACCCAGTGTCAAACTACATTCTGTATCGCTTTAACCTTCTTGAGTTACTATCACATGTTAAAATCTATATTGAAGGCAACTTTCTAAATGGGTTTGGTTTCAGGCATAGGATAAACTTGACTTTGTTTTTTAAAATCCTATTTGTAGTAATTACAAGTGACCTACCCCACCGCTTTCCCCGTGAAAGTGCCGTTATCACCACCAAACCTTTGGTGGGGCCAGTAACTTACCAAGCATCTAACCCATGTTTTTTGCAACAGGGCCTAAACGTTCCCGTGCATTGTCTGTGTGGTCCCTCAACAAGAAGCTCACAACAGAGAGAAAGCTGTGCCCCTGGCAAAGGCCTCCGTAATTCCTTCAGCCAGGAGGTGAGGTTACAGATAGGACACAGCGTGGAAGATTTATAAAAAAATGTTTGTGACAAGACAGAGGCCCCTCCTGGAAAACGCTCTGGCAAAAGCTCCTTGGAAAATGCCCTACCAGCTTCTTGGTGCTTTATGGTGGCATTTTGGCTGCAGCACCTCTGCTGCGTTCGGCTGCGAGATTCCAGCGTAACCACAGGCATGGTTTTTCCCCTCCTTCTGCTGCCTCCCCTGGTGCTGAACACTGCGTGTTGCCAGCAAATGGCTAGGCACACCAGGACAGCCAGTGCTCCCAGACCTAAAGGTGAAGGCCTCTGGCCAGGAGCCATTTCCAGCTCCGGCTCTGCCCCTGCAGGGAGCCCCAGCGGGAGAAACCACAAGTTTCCGCCCCCGCAGCCGCACGCTTGAGAGGCTCTGGGGCTGGGGAG